CAGAATGCATCCCATGTGTTCTATTCCAGGTTTCAAATAGCAGAGTGTCTGGTCATGAGGAGGCCCAGGGCTGAGAGCACAGTGGAGCCCCAGAGAGAAAACAAGCCTGAACGCCTCCCTCACACTCCAGCTCCAAATAAAGGAGACAAAAATCTCAAGAGTAGAAAATCCCCACTGTTCCTCATTTAAAGGAAATTGATTTGAAATAAAAACATGTGGAAGCATAATGATGTACTATATGTTGGCTAATTGAATTTAAATAAAATAATAAAAAAACATGTGGAAGCAACAGATGAAATGTGCTTAGCAGGCAACAGATTCATTCAGACAGTCCTGTATGTTTTATCCTCTTCAGTTGTCTGGAAAATTACTACTTTATGTTATGGGTTGTATTGTGTAACCCCCTCCCCCAACCACCATCAAATTTATATACTGAAGTCCTAACTTCCAGTACGTCAGAATGTGACCTTATTTGGACACAGGGTCACTGCAGATATAATAAAGATGAGGTCACTGGGGAGGGCCCAAATCCAGTATGACTGGGGTCCACACAAAAAGGGCAAATTTGAACACAGAGACAGGGAGAGACGAAAGACAACGGGAACATGAAAGCAGAGATGGAGGTGACACTTTGACCAGCCAAGCAATGCCAAAGACGCCAGCGAACCACCCGGAGCTGGATGAGAGGCATGGAAGAGACTCTCGGCCCTCAGAAGGAAGCCGGCCTGCCAACACTTGAACTTCTCACCTCCAGGGTTGTGTCTGTTGTTTACATCACTCCATTTGTGCTGTTTTGTTAGGACAGCCTGAGCAAACTGATACAGCATATATGCTGGAATGAATCCTAACATCATTGATCGTAACAAAAAGTAATCAAGTCAGTGCCTGCTTATGGTCCTTCCTGAGGCAAGATGCTAATGACTCACAGCTTTTTGGAGATGCTTAAAGGAGGCGTAACCATACTGGATGTTGGCAAGGGAACCGTTAGTGTGGTTAACCTCAGTTTCTGTAGTGGTACCTCATTGGAATGGAAAGCTGTGTCCCTTCCCTTTAACGGTATACTAGGCCCACGATGCATAATCAGCACTTCGTTTCTGGTAAAAGAACCCAGGCGAAGCTTGTTCCAGTGAAGCATATGCTCTGATAACCATAAATGCTTTTCTGTTTTTTCTGATTAAGGCTTTATTAGTTTTCATTTTTATACTTTCTAGTTTTTAATATGGATTTAGTTTTGGCCACTTTTATTCCTCTCTACTGGTTCCGCTGCTAAAAGGCAGGATTGGAAGCTGCATTGTGGAGAGCATAATATAACATGTAGACTTGTCCAATCACTAGACTGTGTAACCTTGTGTGTCAATGACACTTCAATAGAAAACAAGATGAAGGATTGGAAGAGAATCAAAACCACCTGCGTTTCTCTTGATAATCAAATTGGCAAGCATTGAAAAGGGCACAAAGGATCAGGTACAACGATAATCAGTGAAGTGAATTCCAGTATGTGGTGTGCACGCCCCACAAGGTGTGTGCTGTATTTGGACTCAGAACAACCTGGAGGCCACGTGAGATGGGACATCCGTGTCTTCCCCATGGTCCTAGCTTCCAAGTCCTCTCTGTAAGAAGGGTTACCCCTCTGGCCATGCTTCTGAGAATGCCACTTTTCATCCACTGCTCCTCAAAGTCATATTCATTCTGACCTCATATGGAGCAAAGTACTGAAACTCTGCATTATTATAATTATTTGCTTTCTGTGGTAGATCTTTCAATAGCATCTGTAACCTTGATGAGATTACAACTCTTCTTTATGATATATACTACCATGAACATGAGAGAGAAAGAGTTTAGTAGCTTTCTGCTACAACATAGAAGGTCAGAGTTAACGCGTCTGTCAAAGCAATGGTCTCTACCTCCTAAACTAGGGGTTCCTTCTATGTATATTGCAAGGACACAGATTCTTCTGATTTTCTCAATATTTTTACCTCCCAAAATTAATCGGGTCATCAGTCAAATAAAGGCCATGATGCATACAACTGTGCACCTGCAGCATTCCAAAGGACCACTGAAAATTTAAAGAATCTTTTTCCCCATTTCCCTGACATGTCACAGAACTTCCAGTGGATTCCTTCCCGTAACAACTATTTTGCAAAGCTGCCTGATCCACTTTTGGACAGCTGGATAAGCAGTACTATCTACAAATACATGGACCATATTTGATCTATATTATCTCAGCCTTCAGACATAGTTATCTGGAAAAAAATTGATTAGGAGGGAACAAAGTAGATTATCTTGGATGCACAGCTAGGTGGCTTTGCTTCCCTAGCTGTTTATTTAAATTGGAAAGGAAATAAAAATCAGATATCATAGGGACAAACTGCAAACACCAATATGTACTAAGTATTTCTATCTACTGAGCATCTACTATATGCCCAGCACTGTGCCAGGAAATTAAAGGGAGATAGAAGTCAAAGATACGAGGGCCTCTGGGTGGCTCAGTCGGTTAAACATTCAACTCTTGGTTTTGGCTCATGTCGTGATCTCAGGATTGTGAGATCAAGCCTCCTGTCAGGCTCCACACTAGGTGTGGAGTCTGCTTAAGATTCTCTCTTTCTCCCTCTCCTTCTGCCACCCACCCCACACACACCGTGCTCTTTTTCTTAAAAAAAAAAGAAGTCAAAGATACCATCATTATGCACAATTAACTTAAAATATTGTCTAACTGTGATTAAATAAATACATGAAACTAAGCTCAAAATTAATGGAAAACTATTTCAGTCCTAAGTTGGTCCTTCAGACTAAACCTTGCAAGAGTTCAGAGGATGGTTATAAACAATGGAGAATTTATAAAAGTTATCACAAAATAGCTAGGTCTTGACATGCTTTGGAGGACAAATGAGACTTAGACACTCATTGGAACTAAAAATATTTCTTTGAGAATCTATCTAGATTTAAAGGGTGTTTAGACAGCTGTTTCAAAACACACAAAATAAGGTTATGGGGATTCTGTCATTATTTTAAAAAAGTGAGGTACATGGGGATGGGATAGGAAGGCTGAAATAGAATCATATGTGAGTGGGGAGGAGAAAACATCACCTCACAGGACCCTCTGTGGAGAAAACCAAACTCTGCCCTTAACTGGGGGATTTTTCCAACAGATAGACTGAATAAATAATGTGCATTTGCTCTTTCAAAGAAGTCATACGATGTTACTAAAGAGTTGCTTCCCCATTTCTCAGTCATCTTTACTATCCCCATTATGCACAAGTGAAAAGCCCTCATTCAGCTGATTGGTGTTTAATCTGTATACCCTTCTTTTACACATACAAATGTTCTTCTTCCTCCTCCCAGAAGATCATATAGTGTTTCCAGAGATGTACTTAATTGCCTGATTAATTACTGGACCTGTAGATGTAGATGATCATTTTATCACTTATTCAGCTTGACAAACATTTACAGTTTAACAATTCTGACAAAGCCATTCATATACCCTTGTAATATAAAGGTATGTTAAAGCTATGGGAAGTCTGTAATAATAATAGCCTTAAAATAATTTGCTAAGTACAGACAGTTCCCTAAACAATTATAAGATGCTCTATGTTAATTTAGAAAGGAATTCCAAACAAGGCATTTAAAACCTAATAAGATGCCATTAAGTGAAGGGAGACAGGGGAGGGGGGAGAGGAGACAGAAAACCCTAAGGCTTGAACTAGGAGAAATGATTCTCTGAGCTACTGACCCTTGCAAGATCCATGTTTTCCTTGGATTTCTACACACAAAGCAGATTTCTAATTGAAGGTGATTATCTAGTTACTACATCCCAAATTGCATGTATTTCTTATGTTGAATCACACCAACATCTAATTATAGGGAGCATCTATCAATTTGAAAGTCCACAGAAACAGTTTCGTCCATCTACCAACTACACACAACGAGAACATGCTCTATAAACTACGAGGCACAACGTAACTACCAAATATGATTCTCTCTAGTGACAACAGTCTGCCTCCTGATACTCATATGGATCTATGACCTGAATTACCATGTCAATCAACTGGGAATAAATTTTTCAAAGAAATTATAGAAAAAAAGCACCTGCTTTGCTCTTGGGTTTTCTGACGTATGGACACCCCGTGCATGCCTGCTATTCCCTGGAAATATATACATGATATTGTCATCAACACCATTAGGAACAAGAAAAAGAATGGTGATACGTAATTCTAAAAACCAAAAGATGAACTGCCATACAGCAATTTTTATCTCCATAAACTTGAGAGCTCAGTGCCTTGACCAAGGCAATATGACAGTACAGAGATACACAGAATTCGGCATGGCACAAATGTGTTTCTGTAAAATATCATCCCCATTAGTTAGGTTAATTAAGATAAACATACAAGTCATTGAAAACCCCCAAAGTAGAAAAAAGATAATTTACCAAGGCAACACACAACAACATGAGTAATATGCACCCTGAGTCATTCATTTAATAGATTGGAAGGAGAGTTTTATGAATACTTGAGCTGTCACCATTGATTACCAAAAATGACATGCATCCAAATAGCTTACAAGGGCCAAAGGATAACTTGTTTTCTTCGAAAAGTTCTATGAACGCTGTGGGGTGGTGCACGGAAAAATTGGAAGTAAATCCAATCACATATATAATCAATGCTATTAAGCAGACTACACATATGCACACATACAAATGTGAATGTTTGTGTTTTAGGTTTTGTTTTACTGAGATGAATGAAATAGCACTCGCCTTGGGAATCCATGTTTGCCATTTTTCATTTGACTTGTCACAGTGGTTTCATCCAAAATAATAACCCACATTCCTAGTCAAATATATCATAAAGAAGCATTCAGAGCAAAAGACTAACAGTGACTTATGCTGTAGAGAGTTGTAAACCAGTTGCTCAGACTGCAGTTCTGTACAATCTCTCATTGCCAAAAAAAACCCCCAACCAACCAACCAACCAAACGAACAAACAAAAATCCATTCCTACCCTTACCTCAAGGGTCATGTTCACGGTACTGATGGCCACTTTTATTTCTCCATCTGACAGTTCCTTTAGATCTTTCAGCATTGTCTGTTCAATACTTAAACCTGTAGATGAGAGGGGAAAACATTATGTTACACCTGGGGAACTGTTCTTGGTAATATCAAGGGATCATGTAAAGAAGTCACCCTGTTAATTTCAATATTCCACCCCCCGCAACCAAGATCTCTTTTACCCATAAAACACACATTTACACACAGAAAGGCAAAAATCACGCTGGTGACAATATTTGCATCAGTTAGGATCCCAGCAGGAAAAAGAATTCACACTTCATGATGAAAAAAAAAAAAAAAAGATTTTTTAAAGGCAGGACCCTTACAGAGATGTGGGTGGGGCTGAGAAAATGAATAAAAGATGGTGAGGCATTCAGACGCTAGCAAAGGGACAAAGGAAAGAAACAGAGACCTGAAAGTAGAGGAGAGAGGCTGCCAGAAACTCAGCATCAGATCAGTAAGGAAGCGAAGAAGAAATACTACAGCCTCTCTCTTCTCCTTCCCTTGAACCTCACGCCCCATGTGTTGCTAACTCTTCTCACTAACCAAACCCAGCCAGGAGCCACATGACTAAATGCTCAGAAGTACAAGCCTCTAGAGACTCACAGCAGACAAGGGCAGAGAAAGGAATGGGGAGAGGTGGGCAAAGGTGGAAAACCTAACGTTATCAAGCAAGCTAGCTAAGTCATACCTCACGAGGCCAAAATTTGCTTTCAGGGTGGATTTAGTTGAGGCCCCATATTTTCTAGTGTAATTTTATTCAAAATGCACATTTTAATTGTAACCCATAACACTATCATGATAAATTGGTCAACCTTGTAATAGACTCTGGCAATCGGAGCCACTGGACTCCTTAAATGATAGGAAGAATAATCTGGAATGGCTGAATTATCCAGAACTGCATAGTTTGAGTCAGCTGACCAATGTGTTCCATTAAAATCTATCCCTGGGCGCCTGGGTGGCTCAGTTGGTTAAGCGACTGCCTTCGGCTCAGGTCATGATCCTGGAGTCCCGGGATCGAGTCCCGCATCGGGCTCC